GTGTGTGTGTGTGTGTGTGTGTGTGTGTGTGTGTGTGTGTGTGTGTGTATATATATATATATATATATATTTACTGTATTATTTCAAAAACATTTTGGTGAACTTTGTAATTAAGATTTTATCTTGCTTTTTTCAGTCTGTGAGAAGTTGAATATTTAAGTGATTAGCAGTGTTTGTTAGATATTGGACGTTATCTTACTATAGTAGTTCTGAGTTAATGTAAAACTTGAGTGTCAGTTATGGAACTGATGTTAGATCGTTTATAAGAGTTGTATGCAATACAAATGATTATTATCAGAATTAGTGGCTTTAATTATCTTGTTCACCACCAGTGTGTCATGTGATAGCAAAATTCTGTACCATAACATTGAATGTGGGTATCCTAAGTTTTGTTATCATAGCAGAATGCAACAAGAAAGATATTTCCACAATGTACTGAATACTGGTACTGACACTTAATAGGTTGTAATGTACAGGTATTATATCTTTCAAACTAATCACACATAATAAAACTTTTGTGGAAGTAAATTGTAAAAAAAAAAGAGGAAAAGACTTGCACATACTAGTAATGAAAAACCTGAATTAAAAAAAAGCAGTTGATCCTTTCAAAATTTATGTGAAATTATGTTTATATTAAGTAAGCATGCAAATGTTTCTTTAAACCACACACACACACACATTATTTTATGGCTTACTGAAAATTAAGTGATATTGAAAGGATGCTATGTCAAACAAAATAAGTTTATCAATGGTGTGAGTTCAAGAACAAAAAATTATAAACAAACAAACTTATTGTAAGAGATTGTTGTCCCCTTAAAACATGGTTTTGAAATATTGTTTGTTTTTTGTAGGTTGTATATATTTTCTATACTTTGTTTATAAAGGTTATAATTTCTAGAAATATTTTTTTATATAGATAATATTCATTTTAGCAAAATCTCAAGGTTTTAGAGTACTTTACTCTTTTTTTTTTGTTTAGGGAAATATGTGGATATCTACTGCCCAGCAGCTAATCCCACTAAATCTCATTTTCTTGTACATCAGTCAGTGACCCCACAAGGAAATCTTTCAGCTGGAGAATATGAAAAAGTCAGTGCCCTTAACCTGTTAGAATGCACCAAATCTTGTTGTGTCAAGGAAAACTGTGATGTGGTCTTTTTCTTTGAAACAAGTTGTTTCCATATTACTTGCTATAACAACCAGTTGTGCAAGCCTTTAATTAGAACTGGGGATAAATTTAAACATTCTTACATGATCCAAGTGCGAGACCCAGGTTAGTGAGATTGAACATATTATTACGATGGAAATAATAAAATTTTTACATGTTATTATTCAGTTCAAATACATACCTAGTGTTTCAAGAGCAAAAGAATAGCATTTCTGTTTTGAAAAAATGGAACCAGGTCTGTTATTTTTTCTTTTCCTCTGTTTTCTTTCTTTATCACTTTATCATTCTCCTTGTATGAACTTTCATGAAAAAAAGTATGTTGTATTATATGGCAACACATATAAGCATCACTTCTGTGACACTGTGATCCTAATTAAGTACCATAAAATACTGTACAAAACGTTTTTATCTAAATTTAACCAAGTTCTGTTTGGTAGCAAGTCAAGACAGTCTGCATGGTTTACTCTCACTTGAGACAGTTGTATCAACTGTAATCCTTCTGTTTAAAGTCCATGTAGCATTAAAAGAGGGAAAGGGGGGGGGGATAAAAGTTGAAATATATGTCAAGATAAGTTATTTTCTCACATTGTTTTAACATTGATGATGAGTAATAGTCAGTTAAGTCACCACAACAACCTAATATAACCATAAAACTATTTATGGTCATAATTAATTATACTTGTCATCATACAATAGTATTAGGCCTATTATGTTTTTAACATGACATTCTTTATCTAGTCCCTCAGGGATTTTCAACTATGTTTGTTATGTCCTAGCTGACATGATGAGCTCTGGATTGAGCAAAATGCATCGTCAGTAGTGGATGTGATGAACATAATATGGTTGGCATACTATTATTATATATTCTAATTCGTAAATTCCTAATGGACTACATAAAGGATGCAGTTTTGAAAATATAATAGGCCTAATACTAATGTCTGATGACAAGTATAATTAATAATAATCATGCTTTGTAACTTGTAAAATGTCATCACACCATAACAATTGTTATTTACTGTCATAATGTATTACCAATTTTGAAAAGGTGCTACCCTGGACAAAGCTCTTGCTTATTTGTAAAAAAAGGGTATTACAATGTACTTCAGATAACTACTTGTCAACATTATTGATTTAACATAAGAAAAGTGTTAATAGCTGTGTTTTTTTATGCTTTATATCTTTTGGAATTACATTTGAAAAAAAAGTGAATTGTAACAAGAGAGAGAAAAATTGATCAGTTATTTTAATTATTTCAGAGTTTATAATTTTCTTTCCTAATATAAAATGCT